TTAGTATCCGTAAGTTACTAATAGTGCTTGCTTCAAATCAATCATCTGCCATCATCATCATCGTCACCATCACGCTATTTTCATCAAATTCAAGATCCACAATTTTAGATTATTTAAGGCTTGATTCATTGCTGATTATTAGCTTTCTATTAGGGAAAGTTTTCTCTTGTAGTGGAGAAATTATGCACTCATTGTGCATATGGTTATTTTTTGTGAGATAAGACGAGATTGCCTGCGAGTCCCGTGGCGAAACTAGTTTTCAGTATAGAAAAAACGATATGAGATTAACACCCAGGATCACGAAATCGTGTTTGTTCGTGCTTTTCGTGTTTTTTTTTTTGGTTTAGTTTTCGCGTTCTAGTAGCTTTTGCTAATTAGTTATCTCTTAGTTTTCTCTTTTTTTCACATTTTAGGTCTTATTTTACATATTTTGGTTTGGTCGGTTAATTTTTGTTAGTCATCACCATCATTTAGTGGTTTAAATTTAGCAAATTAGAGAAATACACCACCCGAATATAACAAAGCGGTTTGTGTTTCTTACAATCAAATGTTGCAAAATGGATCAATGGTAAATTAGGTAAAATAGGTAAAATAGATAAATAAGATAAAATCAAATAAAGAGGTATACGCACACATTCACAGACAGCTAGCATACATGCGAATAGCAATAGTCCATAAGAAGACACAGAGCAAAGGGAAGTAATAATAATAGCTCGAGATTGATTAACGATAATAAGTGATTGTTGAGATTAACGGTGAGACATCAACGTAACCATCCTCATCACCAAGAACCGCAAATGATAATTGATGAATTTTGTTTTTGAATGGTTTTTACTCAAGTTTACGCAAATTAGTTCAGGTTTAGTTCTGCGCCTTTTTAATCCATAGTGTAGTAGTGGCGTGTTTTAGTCACAATCGTTTGTTAACCGCTTTGCATTGCCTCGCTTCGTTTCACTTTGTTCTGTACCGATACGTTTGTTTTCGCATAATAGGTAAAGTTAATTAGGCGCGTACAGACAATGAGAAATGGTCATAATCTGTGACCAAAATATATATGCTAGTGATGTCAATACGCCACTAACTTGTTGCATTGCCTCTAATAACAATAGGCTTTATTTAGAGAGGGTAAAAACACTTAACATTAGCCCTAAGACACTGATGACTCTGTAACCCTTAGCCTCTCATTGCTTCCTTTATTTCACCCTGTAGGGCGCAAGCTAATCGAGAACCAGTCGTGGTACACGAGTTGGGAGTTGAATGGAGCCCTCCACCCTCATCTGGTAGTAATTAATTATTTTTCGGAATACCTTTGTTTTCTTGCCATGTTGGGCGAGGTCTCCGTTCATATTTCGTGTCTGTCGATGTGACTCTGTAGGCTGAATATACTGGAATTCCCAAACCTTGGTCGAAAAGCGTTGAGTAGTAGGTTTTTGCTTTCTGGTTGAAGTTGTATCGGCTTTTCTGTTGGCAAATGAGGACTATATTTTCTTGGTTCCCACGTAAACCCTTTGGCGGTGTCCAACTGGGAAAGAACTGCTTGAAATGAGTGTTCTGGCAATCACTTTTTTTTGTTTTTCCAGAAAAACCTTTAACCCGACGGAATCCTGGCATATCGTGTGCCCTTAAGCTGTTCTCAATGAGAAACCGACCGTCCCTAGTACCTAAAGATATGAAGAAAATGTTATTTTAGAAAGTTCCTTACTATATTTATATTAGTTTCGAAGTTCTTGCAGTCTCTGAAAAATAAAGAGAGTCTTGGATCTCACCGTTTTTGTTTTTCTTCTGGTGTGGGTCCCCTTCCACCACGTTAGACTCTATCAGTCCAAATATTAGAAGGAGGAGCAAAGTCTTCACAAGTATGACGTCCATCTCAGCCGTAGAGCCAAGTCAGGCAAGGCGTAGTCTTCGCAAGTTGACAATAACGAATGGAATAGTTAACATGTAACAATTTTTTTTATGGTCAAAACTTTTTGGTAGACTTTTGCCGGTTGAATGGACAGTCCAATCACACGGCAGAATAATAATTATCTCGCTACACAGAGTGCACTTAACTAATTCTTTAGACATTGAGAGAATTTTTTCTGATGTTAAAGTTATGACCCCGCCCTTAAAAGGGCTTTGAACACCTCATATTTTAAACATTTGCTCATGTTTAATTCATTACCTCGGTCAATTGCCCTTTGAACTAACTTCACTTAGCTCTTTACTCGAATGTACTTAAAAACTATATCGTAAAACCTATTTTTACAAGAAAGAAGCAAGTTTTACGAGGCGTGAAGGTGGATCTCAGTAGAAAGAAATAAAAGAAGAGAAACTATAGAGAAAGTTTCACGATAGGAGTGTCAAGGCAACCGATGTTTCACACAAACATGTTGTTGCGTTTCTTACCAGGGTGTTACTGTCACCTTTTCTTTTCGCTTTTTACTCTATTTCTTGGTCTTGCAAAATGTATTTGCGTTTACATCTTAATTTTTTTTCTTTTAAATTTGCTGAGGTTTTCAATGAGGTTAACTGTTAGCCTAAAAACGGCCAAATAAGGTTAAGTGGTCGTTATGCGTTAAGGATTGACAGATTTTAACCGTAAGTCGTTAGAAAAATTAACCGTAAAAACGTTTTTTCTAATTGTAGTAGAAAGAAATCAACCGATATCCGTAAAACGCACCACATTTTGACCCTTAGGCGTAAAAGCCATCACCCCGTTCGGAACCTGTTCACTGAGAAGTCCGAGAAATATTTCCATCTTTAAAGTTAACAGGTACTTGATCTATTTCATTGAAATTAAAAAAATTTATCTAATGGAGGTTGAGGTAAAAAAAAAAATTCATCGCATGAACTGGAAATAATTACAAACTGTAGATAATAACCCAGATGCGCCAACGTTTGATACAAAGCTGGGTGCCATGGAAAAAATATATTGCATAGGTTTTTAAGCACCTTTGTTAATAGACTAAGCTACCATTCAAGGCATTCATTTTCAATACAATAAAATTGAAAAATTCCACTTTACGAGTTTATGATAGCCACCTTGAAACTCCTTACAATTGTCGTTTTTTTTTTGACAGTATAAGTTATCTACAAAATCACTCATGCAAAATTTTTACGAAGCCGACATTTTCTCCGTTTCTCCGATAGTTTACTTTGTTTCGTTTCGTTAACGTTGTATTCTGTTAAGTTGCGTCGTCTAATTACGTCAACTCCGAAAATGACCTCCTGGTTACGATGAATTCTTGAAATATTCTACTCCACCTCTTTAGATCTATTGAGAGAGTCTCAATGGGATGACGCATTTTACGGCTAATGGTTAACATTTTGGCCAAGTTACGGCTAATGGCAAGAGAATATAGACTTAATAATTTCTTGCTAACGGCTAATGTCTTTGCATTGTGTTTACCAGAAATTTTTTATCAGTTAACTTTTTTATGATCAACGGTTAAAATTTGTCGATTTTTTCGCCTAACGGTTAATTTTTTCGTCATTTTACGGTTAACGGTTAACGTTATTGAGACCCTCTATTGATCTTTATTCTATAATTTGAATTATATTAGATTGAAAATTAAAAAAGTCAGTAACTTTTAAAAAAATTTTATCTTTTTCCCTGTAGTCTCCTAATGCTTTCTTTGGTAAGTCAACGATTTTATTTTGCATATAAATAAATGAATAAACTTTCAAGATCATGTAGTCTTTTTTAATTTCTTTGAAATAATCTAACTGATATCGAAGAAATGACAGGAGGTTAAGAATCGACAACAGCGACGCCATGGACAACGTCGATTTAAACAGTGAACTTATATTTTACCTAAGAATCTCACTATACTGTAAAATCATTTAGTTTGTTTCTCACTGTCAAAACTCGAGACTGAATATGTAACGCAGCGTCTAATTAAAATATAAATGTAAAAAATTAGCCGTTTTCGTTCACGTCCTCCCGACAACGCAGAGATTAATCAATGTTATCCTTCTCAGCCTTGTGTAGCGCTGACTGTCGATCAATTTGTTGGACACGGTGGTGCCCCGCTCGAACGAATCGAAAGAAACAGGATAGCCACGTTTATTAAAAAACTGGCACATTGCCTCTGATTTTTCGGAAAAATCAGAGTCGTCAAAAATTTAGATACCCATAATAGGTAATAAAAAAAATCGTATTTAAGGTCCGCCCTGAAATGTTTCCTGTACAACCTGATGATTTCTCAATGTAAAGATAAGAATTCATGATTAGAGTCCGATGATTTTGAAAACGATCGATGCACAGAAGAATGAGAGCCATCACCTTGAATAGAAATTAATTGAAAACGTTGTTTAAATAAATCACCAACTGAGTGATATTATTACTCATAAATTAAGACTTTTTTTCCTTTGTTTAAGTTAAAACTAGTTCCTAACTATTGAATACCACATTAAAGACCCTTTAAAGAGCTTCAAATTGTTCAAGCCCTTTTGAAGTATTTTGAATGCGTCAGATTTTAAATATTGTTTGGTCGAGCCTAATGAGTACACAAGGCGCTTTTACAACTTTGACTAATAAAACTATTTCAGAGAAACAAACGACCCAATTTTTCTCCTCAAAAAACAGTTTCAAGAAGGTAGGAAGGCGCCAGGTTTATTTAAGAGACAAATTTAGAAGCCTTTTTAACAATCAGTTTCAAATGACATGATATCTTAACGGGTGCTTCTTTCGGTGTCTTTTATTTGGGTACCAAACCGACCACCGTATAGCTCCGTTCAAAGTGTTGAGGGTTTCTTTACTTAGATGTTACGTGGTCTATAGAGGATTGTAGTTCAATTGATTAAAATACCAGACCTAATCTAAAAAATTAAGCCATTCTAAACCCAACGAAATTGAATATCAAGGTGAGGTACTTTTACGGTATGGATATACATGGGTCATTAGTTTCGACCCTTGTTTAGCAAAAAACGTGACGCTCTCGTACGAAGGAGAACTGATTTCAAATCGATTATTGGCGAAAGTGCAAACGAGTAATAAAAAATTTTCCTGGAGGGCAAAAATCCGTTGATAACTTTAATTACGACCGCACAGAGTTTTAAACTACGGGTCTAGATTTTGTTAATGAAGTACCTGTTGAAAAAAAAAAACATTTTTAAAGCAGGTGAATTCAAAATTCACATCTCGCAAAAGTTACTAAAAATGACAGTTACCGATTTTTGCTTACAACTACGAATTTTAACTGTAGGTTTTGTTTTCAGAAGATGAAATTTCTTTTCTTTAGAAGATTTTGGAATGCCTTGTTTCAAAAGCCCAAAGAATTCTTTCGTGGTCCTCTGAAGAGTGTTATCTTGGTACCTATTAAAATTTGGTAAGTAGTTAGAGGAGTTTTCGCTTCCCCTTTGATATATCTAAGTTTGGTATAATTAACTCATTCGGAAACAAGATAGATCATTGCATTTAAATGTATGACCAAATTTCGCATATGACCGATAAAATAACTCTTACATCTCACTTTAACGGTACTGAACTCTTACACTAAGCCCAGTTTAAAACAGGTAAAATTATCTCAAAGTTGTTTTTCACAGGATATTGGGTTATGTTAACTGAGATTAACTGATACTCTGTTAAAATTGAAGTTGGTACCATAGTATAGAAGGCGCTCTGGGCAAGTGGCAATCAAAAGAGCTTTCCCAGAACTGTTCAATGCGTTCAGAGCTGCAGTGAACCTTTCATACAGATTCAACACCAACGGATACTCCGCCAAAGATACAGCACAGAAGGCGCTCTAGGAAAGTGGCAATTAAAATGCGTTCAGAACTGCATTGAACCTCGTATCTCACGTTAAGACTGTTACTATCGTTTAGCAACCTCCACCTGCTTCATTCAAACGTGTCAGAAACATAGGCAACTTTTTGATCAGATGTTCATTACAAACTAATAACCGACCCTGATCTTATCCATTAAGATTACAGAGCCCTTCACGTGTACCTCCGCTAATGTCATCTATTGCACGAATTGCACTTATAATTTAAGTTCGGATATAATGTGCGCTGTTATAGGTTGAAACAGCTTGCCCTATAAAAATATAGAACTTAGAGCAAGAGAGCTAAAGCTGGCACGCTATCTCCCAAATTATAATGTGTCCGACCATTTTCCGCACCTGTCTTTAGCTTTTTTTTCGTTCATTAAAGTGAAATTTCGTAACAAGCGAGACGGCAAATAGCAAGAGAAGAACTAAACAAATATTTGTAATAATGTCAAGCACCGTAATTGACGTTACTATAACGTGAGCAGAAACGAGGGTTACTTTGTTGGTATCATCCATGCAACCCGGAAATTCTGGAAAAAATTTGACCTCGGTTGGTTTACCACTGGCTATATCCTCTTTAATTACCATATGCAATTTACCCAATATGGAGACTTGTTTAGTATACGTCTCCTTTGGATCTATCCTGTCGTTTCCAAACACTGCAAAACTCCCCACGGCAGCACCACCTTTGACACAACAGCCGGCCGTCCACAAAGAGCTGGGGACTGTTTTAGCTGGAACTGATTAAGGAAGATCTTCATAAGCCACTTTAGGTGCTCCGCTTGGATCATTGATGGCATTTCTGTCTGTATCTGGATCCTAATTAACAAATGAAGTTCCAGTAAGGAGATATAAAGTTCTATCATCCTCAGTGCAAGGCTCTAGTGACTGTTAAAATATTGTTTATCTGGTAACAAGGGGAAAATGGGTACTTCTTCAACAATAGAAGTCGATTTCTGGCCGAAAACGTTGCAAAAAAATCGTAGATGATCAATTCCACGGTGATAAAAGAAGAGAAGAGCTAGTCAACGATCTAATGGTAAGGTTAACCTCTCTTCAATCTGGGCTTTGTTTTCCCTGTTATTTCAATGAGCCATGCAATTTTGTATAAGATTTCAGTTTTTTAAAACATGAACAGTTGCTCCTCTTACCCTTTTTCAGTTTCCTTTGCGAGAGGCTACCGTTCACGACATTGGCCGCTATCAGTCCAAACGTTAGTAGGACCTGTAAAATCTTCACATAGGATGCTCCCATCCTAGCATCAGAGTCAGCAGGGGAGGATAAGAATCTTCATCAACTGCCCTAGCGAATAGTAAACACCTGGCTGTAATAAGTTTCTAATGGATACAACTTCCTCATGGAAGTTTGCTGGTTGAATGGATTGTCCAATAGCACAGCAGAAATCTCAATATAGCCGGTATTGCCTGAGTGAAGCCACCTGAATGATTTTATTCCCCATAATTTGTTTTTCCCTTTGTGCAAATTTAAACCAGTTCTTAACTATTGATTAACACCTAAGGGAACTTTTAAGGAGCTTCGAATTTTTAGATTTTTAGAATGTTCATGATATTTAGGTTTATTAGAAGTATTTTGAATATTCAGATTTTAAAAATTGTTTCGTCAGAGCCTCAGGAGAGGACAATACACTTCAACAAAACTATTTTAGAAAAAGCAAATGATCCAATCTTTCCCTTAAAAAACTGTTTCAAAAGGGAAGTAGGGTACCGGGTTTATTGCAGAAACAAATTAAGAGAACTTTTAAAATATCAGTTTCAAACCATATGATATCTTAACGGGTTCTTTTATTCGGTGTTTTTTTTATTTGGGTACCAAACCAATCGCCGTATAGCTGCGTTCAAAGTGTCAAGGGTTTATTAATTTAGAAGGTACGTAGTCTAAAGAGTATAATTAAGTTGACCGAATGCTAGTCCTAATCCAGAAACCAGAAAATTAAGCCATCCCAAATTAAACTGGATATCAACCTGAGTTATTATTATTGGATCGATATACATGTGTATATCATTTGCCTTGACCCTTATTTACCCTTAAAGACTTGACGCTCTCTTATGAAGGAGAACTGAATTCAAATCAGGTAAACACGAAATTCACTTCTCGCCAAACTTACTAAAAATTAACAACCGATTTTTGCCTACAACTAACGAATTTTTCTGTACCTATTGTTTTATGAAAAGATAATTTTTTTCTTTAAATGAGTTTGGAATGTCTTGTTTTAAAAGCACGAAAAACTCTCTCGTAGTCCTTTGAGGAGTGTTATCTAGTAACCTATTGAAAAATTGATAAATTTGTAGGAGATTTAGCTTCTTCTTTGATATATCTGGGTGTGGTATTAGACGTCAAATTAACTCGTTCGGAAACTAGATAGATCACTGCATTTAAGTGTACAACCAAATTTTACATATGACCGATAAGAAAACCCTCACATCTTACAATAAAGGTACTGTACTCCCACACCTAGCCCAATTTAAAACAAGTAAAATTATCTCAGAATCTTTTTATCAGGAGATTGGGTTAGTTTAACTGATGTTAGCTGATACCCTGTTAAAATTGCAGCGGATACCATTGCATAGTTTCAAGTTGCAATAAAAAAGGCAATCCTAGAACAGTTCGATTCAACACCAACGGATACTTAGCCAAAGATACTACGCCAAGACTGTTACTACCGTTTCGCAACCTCCACTTATTTCATTCAAACGTGTCAAGTACATAAGCGACTTTTTGGTCAGATGTTCATTACAGACTCGGAACTTTCAAATGCGCTCACGCGCGATACAAAACTTGTCCTTTCATTTATAATGTGGCAAAAAAGGGGAACCAAATGATCCATTATGATAACAGAGCACTTCACGTGCATCTCCGCCGATATCATTATGCATGAATTGCATGAATTGCACTTGCGATAAAGCTCGGATATAACGCGCGCTGTTATTGGTTGAAACAGTGTGTTCTATCAGAGTATAGAACATAAAGCAAGAGAGCTTCAGCTGTCACGCTATCTGCCAAATTGTACTATGTCCGACCATTTCCCGGACTTCTCTATAGCTTTTTTTTGTTGATTGAGGTGAAATTTCGGAACAAGCGAGACGGCAAATAGCAAGAGAAGAACCAAACAAAGGTTTGTAATCATATCAAGCGCCGTAATTGACGTTGTTATAAAGCGAGCAGGAACGAAATGGACAGTCCAAGTTTTGAAGGTTTTCACCGAGGGTTGTCCAATACACCCAAATCGCTACGATTTGTCAAAGGCAGTTTGCAAATCGTTCTACCGGAAGTCGATTCGCGGTTAATGCATCTCGTTATACCGGAAATCTGATAAACCATCTGTCGTTAGATGGAAACCGGCATACCAGAAGTCAATTTGTAAGACACTTAGAAAACATTTCGCAAGTAACTGTCAAGGGTCGTTGAAAATGTTGTCGAATCGAGTGGATTCGATTCGAGTCGAACGACTCGTCTCCGTAAAAGTCGACCCGTCACACCGGAAGACGATTTGCAAGACACTTAGAAAATATTCCGCATTTAGCTACTTAATGTGGTGAAGATGTTGTCGAGTCGCCTCGATTCGACTCGAATCGAACGACTCGACTCAGTTAAAAGTTTAATATCGATTTTGACATTTTCTTCCCTTGTTCTATAACCGAAACATTTCCTTCGTTATTCTCATAAAAGTGAGATTCCAGCGGTCACGTTTAGAAATCTTTAATTCAATTAGAGCAAGTTGTCATGCAATTTCAACCTTTGACTTGGCTCGTTAAGCATAACACTAAAAAGAGGTGAAAATATGTTCATCGTTGGCCGTACAAAACATAGTCACCGCACTTAATTCACAAATCGCATCTGTCAACACTTACCTTCACATATTGGAGTGTAAATAAATTTCTAAACGAATTACTCTTAATAATTTATTTACTGCGACTTTCGACGTCATCAACGGACAAAGGAAGCCGTTTGAATAAAACGACAAGGATTTCCACCTCACAAGTATTTATGTATGGTAAATTTGTGACAGAGTATTTTTGTCCGGGAGCTAGCTGATGTCACTTAACTTTTCACCTTTGCAGAGTGATACGTAATAGGTGATTGAAACCCTTTCATTTTGTGATTTTGAACCGGGTGATTCTCAGAGCTGCTTGAGGAACTATACAATGCCATTTTGACATACTACAAAAGTTTCCTTATCGATAAACGTGAGAGAACACTAAAAGGCGATGATCCAGTTTTCGCACAAAAGCCATTCATATGCATCTTTCAATTTAATTTCTTGTCCAGTACAACACCCATTCAAAAGTTTTAAAAAATGAGAACAATATGTTACCAGGTGTCATCGCTGAACCATCATTATTTCTTAACTATATCAGTTATATTATCTCAAAGAAATTGAAAAAAAGGCTGCATGATCTTGAAAGTTTGCTCATTTATTAGTATCCGGAAATGAAATAAACTTCCCAGAAATGAGCACAAACTGCACCAGGCGTCATTGCTTAATCATTGAGGAGCTTATGGAAACCACGACGGCAACGGCAACGAAAACGTCACTCACCAAAAGTTTTCATGGGCAGAAATAGCTGTGCACGTGCGTTACAAATCTTTGTAAATTTTTAGACGGCCTCTGCAAAAAAACAATGTGAAAGGATTAAACTTTCCGTTGTCTGGAGAAAGTGAACGAGAAAGGCTAATTTTTTACATTTATATTTTTAATTTTACGGTACGTTCCATATTCAGTTTCAAGATATTTTTGACAGTGAGAAACATACTAAATGACTTTAGAGTATCGCGAGATTCGCAGGTAAAATATACGTTCATTGTTTAATCGACGTTGTTCACGGCGTCGCCGTTTCCTTTTCTTACACTTCTTATCGTTATTTCTTAGCTATCAGTTAGATTATTTCAAAGAAAGTAAAAAGACCACATGATCTTGAAAGTTTATTCATTTATTTATATCCAAAATAAAATCGTTGACTCACTAAAGAAAGCATTAGGAGGCTGTAGGGAAAAGTTAAACAATTTTGAAAGCTATTGGCCTTCTCAGGTGTAACGCACAGAAAAGAGTTAACTGTAAAACAATTTCTGGTGAACACAAATCAAAGACATAAGCCGTTAATAAGAGATTATAAAATAAATATTTTCTTGCCATTAACCGTAACTTGGCCAAAATGTTAACCATTAGCCGTAAAAGCCATCATCTCATTGAAACTCTCTCAGTAGATCTAAGGAGGTGGAGTAGAGTATTTCAAGAATTCGTCGTAGTTCAGGAGGTCATTTTCGGAGTCGTAGTAATTAGACAAGGCTACTTAACGCGAAACAACGAAACGCAACTAAAATAAATTATCGGAGAAAATGTCAGCTACGTAAAACTTTGGCATAAGTGATTTCCTAGATAACTAATACTGTCCAAAAACAATTTTATAAAGTGTCA